TGGTTTGAATTGGTGTGGGATGGTTTGGACTGGTGTGGGATGGTTTGGACTGGTTTGAACTGGTTTGGGATGGTTTGGACTGGTTTGGGATGGTTTGGACTGGTTTGGGATGGTTTGGACTGGTTTGGGATGGTTTGAACTGGTTTGGACTGGGAGGGGGGTGGGACTCGTTATACTGGTTTACACTGGGCGTGGTACTGGGTTATACTGGAAGGGTGGAGTGGGTGTTACTGGTTAAACTGGGACGGGCCCAGTTCCATTCCTCAAAGTTCCCAATCCCAGTATCCCCAGTTCTCAATCCCATCACTCCCAGTGTCCCCAGTTCCCCCCAGCCTGTCCGACACCTCCGCGCCGCCAGGTGTCGCTGCCGCGGGCGGAGCCGCTCCGGCAGCTGCTCTCGGTGTCCGTCACCGGAAGTGGCCGCTCCGGCCGCTGTTCTCGGTGTCCGCCACCGGAAGTGGCCGCTCCGGCCGCTGTTCTCGGTATCCGTCACCGGAAGTGGCCGCTCCGGCCGCCGCTCTCGCTGTTCCTCACCGGAAGTGGCCGCTCCGGCCGCTCTCTAAGGTTCACTCCTCCCCTCCGGGAGTTGCTGTCACATGATCGAAACCAGCCCGGTGTCACGTGATCGGAACCGCCCGTGACGTCACTGTTTGCGGAAGTGCCCGGGAGGAGCCGGGTGAGAACCGGGGGCGCTCGGGTTGGATTTGGGGACATTTGGGGACATTTGGGGACAATTCGAGGATCTTTGGGGGGGATCCTGGGGCCCGGGGGGTGTTTGGGGCGGATTTAAGGGGATTTGGGCGGATTTGGGGCGGATTTGAGGAGCGGGGAGCGGCTTTGGGCAGGGCCCTGAGGGGACAGTGGGGCCTGTGGGGCCGGCCAGGGGTCCCCGTGTCACCTCCCTGTCCCCTCCCCGTGCCCGTGTCCCTCCCTGTGTCCCCCGATGTCCCTCTCGGCTCCCCAGTGTCCGTGTGCCCCCTGGCCCCGTGTGTGTCCCCCCTCCTGTCCCCAGCTCCAGGTGCCGCCACATCCCCGTGTCCCCCCACGGCCGTGTCCCGTCCCCCAGGTGTCCCCAACGTCCCACCGGTGTCCCCAATGTCCCATCAGCGTCCTTAATGTCCCATTGGTGTCTGCAACATCTCATTGATGTCCCCAGTGTCCCCTGCTGTCCCCAGTGTCACAGTGCTGTCCCCAGTGTCACAGTGCTGTCCCCAGCTGTCCCTGCTGTCCCCAGTGTCACAGTGATGTCCCCGCTGTCCCCATGGAGCTGCTGCGGCAGAACCAGCGCTCTCTGGGCCGTGTCCCGTCACTGTCCCCAGTGTCACAGTGTCACATCGCTGTCCCCGCTGTCCCCAGGTGTCCCTGCTGTCCCCAGTGTGACATTGCTGTCCCCAATGTCCCATCGCTGTCCCCAGGTGTCACACTGATGTCCCCAGCTGTCCCATCGCTGTCTCCAGTGTCACAGTGCTGTCCCCAGTGTCCCCAATGTCCCCAGCTGTCCCTGCTGTCCCCAGTGTGACATTGCTGTCCCCAATGTCCCATCGCTGTCCCCGCTGTCCCCAGGTGTCCCCGCTGTCCCCATGGAGCTGCTGTTCGGGCGCAGGCGCACTCCCGAGGAGCTGCTGCGGCAGAACCAGCGCGCTCTGGGCCGCGCCGTGCGGGAGCTGGACCGGGAGCGGCAGAAACTCGAGGCACAGGAGAAGAAAATCATCGTGGACATCAAGAAAATGGCCAAGCAGGGCCAGATGGTCAGAGGGGACACCCTGGGGACACAGGGGACACTCTGGGGTGACGGGACACAGGACAAGGGTGGGGGGACACGGAGGGAACAAGGGGACAGACAGGGATCAGGGGACAAGGGACATGGAGAGGTCTGGGGGACACAGAGGGGACAAAGGGACAGGCAGGGGCTGGGGGACATGGAGGGGACAGGGGACACTGAGGGGGACATGGAGTGTCCCCTGTCTGTTCCTGCTGTCCCCTCACTGTCCCCATCCCTGTCCCCTCACTGTCCCTGCTGTCCCCTCGCTGTCCCCGCTGTCCCCTCACTGTCCCCTCGCTGTCCCCATCCCTGTCCCCTCACTGTCCCCATCCCTGTCCCCGCTGTCCCCTCGCTGTCCCCGCTGTCCCCTCGCTGTCCCCTCACTGTCCCCGCTGTCCCC